GATAGTGCCTGGTTTTTGTATTCTTTTTTTTTTTCAAAGGGGGAGATAAACTTCCTATATGGATGTTCATGAGTTTGATGTTTATGACTAGGACCCATTTTTGATTTATTTGATTTACTTGTTTTGTTTGATTTTTATAACTTTTTATCTCTTCTGTTGGACTGCATGACTACTTAGCTTTCAAAGAACCTGAAACCAGGCTAGCAAAAAGGTAGACTATCCAAGATAAGGGTGTTTATTGCAAAAGAAAAGCTTTAATGTCCATTGTCTCTTTTGTCGGACTGCGTGACTACTTAGCTTACAAAGAACCTGAAACCAAGCTAGCTAAAAGGCAGACTGTCCGAGATAAGGGTGTTTATTGTGAAATAATTTCTTGATATATTTTACTTTTCTGTTGTATGTTTATGTTATGCAACAATCAAATGCAACAAACAAATGCACACACAATTTACTCATCCGCGAATAGTAGGACGACATTTTTTAATCACTAGGTAGGGGTATCCTGCAGAAGAGTGCATATTCAGGGTAGTTCTAAATTTCCTCACCAAGGCCAGACCCCCAAGGTGCCCCTATTATAGGGTCCCCACTCTCCCAGCTTTCCGACCATGCATGGCACTAAGGCCTTAGTCAGTCTTTGGGCCAAAAGAGAAAGGTTATCACCTTGAGTGGTGGTTTCCGACCATACCGGTGGTCTCATGACCCTCACTACGACAAATCATACCTGCCACCCACTCCCTATGGATATCCCACTTGCCCCCAGGTACAGGAGGAACTGTTGTGTGTAAGGGTTTATGTATAGTTTGTATTTCAAACAATTTCATAAAATAAACATATAATAGTTATTAAAGCCAAGCAATTAAAACATGTTATAAAACAAGAAAGGGTAAAGGCGCAATTTTTAAGTTTTATTTCTTAAAACTAGTCCATCATTAAATAGGATCAACTCTCTGGCTTCCCCAGTAGAGTCGTCATCTATCGCCGCCATAAAAAAGAGGCGGTCGGAGTGACGCGATGGTTCTGATCGACTCGTGTTTTAAAAAGCGTGGTTCAACGCCTTTAGGTTGTCTGATAACCGGGTTGAACCTAAAAGGTGAGGTTTTCGAAAAGGTTCGAGGAGTCGTCACCAATATTTTTACTAGAAACATTGAAAAAGGAAAAAAGAAGACAGTGGTTTTTAAATAAAAACCAACTTTGGCCATTACAACCAGAGTCGGGTAAGGGAGTTAGTTATGTGTGGGGAAGGTATTAACACCCCCACAACGCCCCTTTCGGGTTCCCTATGATGGAACATTTTTATAAAGAAATAATAACTCTAAATTTCACTTTTACCCTTATTTATTCGTTGTGGAAAATAAATTATTGACTACATGGTCCTAAATGATTAATGCACAATAATACTATCTAGAAAAGCGGTAAAGTAGGAAATGGAGTATGTAGGAACCTTTGAAGCAAACTTTTATAGTATATTCTTGAAAGAGGGCGCTTTTTGGCAGTCTCCGCGCTCTACAATGATGATTGCTCTTCCTCGCAACACTCTATAACGCTTTCTAAGAATTCTAAGAAACTCTGGAAATGCTTCAGAGGGATCCTAGGAGAAGAAATTGAAGTTTTTGCATAAGGGAAAGTAGTAGAATTCCCCTCAAACAGTGAAAAGGTCTCCCCTTTTATAGGGATTCGTGCTCGTCAGGTTGGGACTGCCGTTTCGCCTAGCAAGATCGGGACCGCCGTCTCGCCGCCATTGGCAAATGGCGAGACGGCGGTATCACCAAGCGAGACGGTGGTCTCGCCATTGGTGTATGGCAAGACGGTGGTCTCGCCAAATGAGACGGCGGTCTCACCCTTGGCGAATGGTGAGACGACGGTCTCGCCAAACGGGACGGCGGCCTCGACCCTTTGGGTGAAATTTCTTATTTTTTGTGTATAAAATTTTTTCCTATTCTATTATGAGACCTATTGATCCATTCTAGAGACCTTTTAGGCCTTGCCCACCCTGGAACGGAAGTCTTCGACTCTTTATTTTGAAACCGGGCAAGATTTGGGTTCTACATCAAGCATACCCCATCATGCGGATATAAGAGAAGAGAACATTAAGCAAGTTGCTCCAAATTTGTTCCACAAGTCTAAACTCATCTGCAAAATTTATGATTCTCGAACTTTCTGACCTGGTTTAGTGAAAACAACTGAATTTTGTTGTGTATCTATTTAAATTTGGAATGTGGACTGATTCAACACTGTGGATCTATTTAAATACAAGAAACGAACTGATCTATGTGATGATTGAATCAGAAGAGAGAATATAAATAAATAAGGAAGGGATAAGCAAATGTAGTTAATAAAGAAGGATTGTTAGTAAAGAAAAGTGTTATAATTTAAGAAATATATATTATCTGAATCTGCACATTTGTGTGGTTGGGAAGAGTCAGCAATTATTGGTTGGCCACCAAACCTTCAAAGTAAAGTCATCTACAACTAAATAGTCACTTATCGTTACTTGTTACTATTTACTATGTCTATCTGCATTGATGCTGTGCCACTCATTCACGAAATTAAGCACATTTGTTACTTCTATTAGGTACAATGCCTATGTTTGATCCTAAACGATTCACTGTTTATCAGAGTGGGGCCTTGCCCCTTGTGTCAATGGGAACAGTAGTGGAGTGTTTATGGGTTGATTCACACCAGAGAAGGGGAATTGAAAGTCAATGGAGTGATTAACAATAATTATGAGCTTGCAAATATGAAAACCTACAGCTTGATGCAGTCATAAATAATTGGTAAAATCTAACAACGTCAAACAAAAAAGCTAAACAATGTTGGAGTGTTTATTAGGTGTTCTCAGAGTTTGCTGTGATTCGACTGAAATTTTGTAAGATACAGGAAGGCTTATGTACTGCTAAGTTAGCCACAGAAATTGACTAAATGCACTAAAAAAACTGAATAAAGCAAACGAAGAAAAACTGACTTTCTCCAAACATTAACACTGTGTTTGGTTGGAGTGATTTATTGTTCAAAAAGACAGAAAAACGAGTATGACATTCGTTTGTTTCAACTGATATGAGAGGATATGCGAGCGATGATTTGAGGGAGAGTGGGAGAAAAGTGCACTCGCTTAAATAAAGAGATATGCAAAGAAACACACATCATCAAAAACTAATTTACGTATTTATCCTTCTCCATCTCCTCCATATGAAGACACAGTATATGGAATCCACACACAGTGCCTCCTCTAAAAATATATATATATATATATATATATATATATATATTCTAAAATATAATTTATATTAATTACTATAATATAAAATATATATTCCAAAATATAACTTATTTTCATTAATATATATAATTTTACATCAAAATATTTTCAAATAATCGAGACTTTAGATAGCGGTTAAAGTGGAACCGCTATCATATGTCACTTTTAAGAGCGGTTAAGATGTAACCACTCTTAAAAGTGACATATGATAGCGGTTCCACTTTAACCGCTATCTAAAGTCTCGATTATTTGAAAAAGTGATCGATCATTTGGAAAAGTAATCGATCATTTGAAAAATTATATATTCTAAAATATAATTTATTTTGATTTCTATAATATATATATAAATGAAAATAAGTTATATTTGCAATATATATTTTATATTATAGTAATTAATATAAATTATATTTTAGAATATATATATATATATATATAATTTTACATAAAAATATACTGTTAATAAATGAGACTTTAGATAGCGGTTAACTTGGAACCGCTATCATAGGCTCACTTTTAAGAGCGGTTAACATCTTAACCGCTCTTAAAAGTGAACATATGATAGCGGTTCCAAATTAACCGCTATCTAAAGTCTCGATTATTTGAAAAAGTGATCGATCATTTGGAAAAGTAATCGATCATTTGAAAAATTATATATTCTAAAATATAATTTATTTTGATTTCTATAATATATATAAAAATGAAAATAAGTTATATTTGCAATATATATTTTATATTATAGTAATTAATATAAATTATATTTTAGAATATATATATATAAATATAATTTTACATAAAAATATACTTGTTAATAAATGAGACTTTACATAAAAATATACTTGTTAATAAATGAGACATTAGTGTGCATAGGTTTATAATTTTAGTAATGTTTGTCAAATATCTAATGTCCGTATTAATTAATATTATTTGATAATTAAAAGTTATGACATGTAATTCTAATATATATATATTTATTTATTTTATGTTGAAAATATAAAAATATGCCAAAAAAATATATTAATATAAATTTTAACTAAATAATAAAATATTTTTACTATTAAGTTTACATGAATTTTTCATTTAATTATTATTCTATTTTTACTCGTATTTTATATTTATTTAAAATAATAATTTACAATTATATTATTAATTTTCATAATTATTTGTTATTATTAGTCAATATTAATTATTATTTTATATTTTATAATTATTTAATTATTAATTAAATAATTTATTTAATAGGTCAAAATTATTTTTTTCTGGATATGCAATGTACATAATTTTGTTTATTTATATAATTTTTAATAACTATTTTAAAAAAAAGTTAATTTTTTAAATTTGTTTCTAATTACAAACATTTTTAAATTTGTTTTTTTTTAAATATATAATTAATGTTAAAATATGGATAATTAATTAAAAAATTATATTTATAATAATTTGAACCTTATTTTATACACAAGGGTAAAATGGTAATTTTATTAAATAATCAATTAAAATTATAATTTTTATATCTCATATCAATCAAATTATTCACAATTTTTCATAAATTTTTCTTTCACTTTCCATTCATCCAAACAACTTTAATTTCACTTCATTTTTCTTCAAATTCCTCCCTTAGTAACTCCAACCTAACAAATCCTAAATCAACCCATATTGTGCCAACTATTGCAGTAAATGCATCTTCAAGCTGCACTACCAAATTTCAGAATCCTGTCTTCTTTACAGATTGACCACTTCCTTCCCAACCATGCCAGTGATAGAAACACTTGGTGGTGCTCTTTTCGGTGCTGTCCTTCAGGTGCTATTTGACAGGCTGGATTCTCATCATGTTTTGGACTATTTCCATCGGAGAAAGCTCAATGAGAAGCTACTGAAAAAATTGAAGGTGAAGCTGTTGTCCATCAATGCTGTGATCGATGATGCAGAACTAAAGCAGTTCAGTAATTCATATGTAAAAGCATGGCTTGATGAGGTCAAAGATGCTGTCTTTGATGCAGAGGATCTGTTGGATGAAATAGACTATGAATTTTGCAAATTCAAGTTGAAAGCTGAATCCCACACCAGCGATAAAAAGGTATGGAATTTCTTCAATGCTTCTCCCAAAAGTTTCTTTGACAAGAACATTGAATCGAGGATGGAAGAAGTCCTTGAGCAACTGGAATTTCTTTCAAGACAAAAGGGTGATCTAGGTTTGAAATATGCTAGTGGTGTTGGTGTTGGATCAGAATCGGGTAGTAAAGTGACACAGAAGTTACCATCAACATCTTTGGTGCTTGAAAGTGTTATTTATGGCAGAGATGATGAAAAGGAGATGATTCTTAACTGGTTGTGTTCTCACACTGAGACCCATAACCAGTTATCAATACTCTCTATTGTAGGTATGGGTGGGATGGGTAAGACTACACTTGCCCAACATGTATATAACGATCCAAGGATTGAGGAGGCTAAATTTGACCTTAAAGCTTGGGTCTGTGTGTCAGATGAATACAATGTTTTCAAGGTAACCAGAGAAATTCTTGAGGCAGTCCACAATTCAATTGATGATAGCAGAAACCTAGAAATGGTTCAGGGACGATTGAAGGAAAAGTTGACAGGAAGAAAGTTTCTCCTCGTTCTGGATGATGTTTGGAACGAAGATAGAGACCAATGGAAATCATTGCAAACTCCTCTTAAATACGGGGCTAAGGGAAGTAAAATTCTTGTCACAACACGCAGTAGCAAAGTTGCTACCACCGTGCTGTCAAATAAAGTACACGAACTAAAGCAGTTACAAGAAGATCATAGTTGGCAACTTTTTGCTAAACATGCATTCCAAGATAATAATCATCGATTGAATGTTGAAGTGGAGAGTATTGGTAAAAAGATTGTTGAAAAGTGCAAAGGTTTGCCCCTGGCATTGGAAACAATTGGATGTCTTTTGCACACAAAGTCATCTGTTTCCGAATGGGACAGCGTATTGATAAGCAAGATATGGGACCTACCCAAAGAAGATAGTAAAATTGTCCCTGCTTTGTTATTGAGCTATTACCATCTTCCTTCTCATCTCAAAAGATGTTTTGCTTATTGCGCCTTATTCCCCAAAGATCAAGAGTTTGACAAGGAGAGTCTGATTTTGTTATGGATGGCCGAAAATTTTCTACAATGTTCTCAACAGAGTAGGAGTCCAGAAGTAGTTGGTGAATTGTATTTCGATGATCTATTATCAAGGTCTTTCTTTCAACAATCAGTTAAAGACAACAAAACATTTTTTATCATGCATGACCTTCTCAACGATTTGGCAAAATATGTTTGTGGAAACATATGTTTCAGGTTTGGAGTTGATGAAGATAAAAGGATACCCGTAAGGACCCGTCACTTATCATTGGTAACGAATGAAGATCAATATTCTGATGAGTTTGGGAGTTTATACTATGCTAAAAGGCTACGCACATTTATGCCAACAAGTAGAAGAATAAGCATTGATAATTATTGGGATTGCAAGATGGTGATGGATGAATTGTTCTCCAAATTTAAGTTCTTACGGGTCTTATCTTTGTCTTGTTGTCGGAGCCTTAAAGAGGTTCCTGGTTTGGTAGGTGATCTTAAGCATCTTCGTTCACTTGACCTTTCAAGTACTCTTATACAAAAGCTCCCCGACTCTACATGTTCACTCTATAACTTGCAAATACTGAAGCTGAACTCTTGTTTCAATTTGAAGGAGTTGCCCTCTAATTTGCATAAACTCACCAATTTGCGTCGCCTTGAGCTGATGAAAACTAATTTGAGAAAGATGCCAGTGCATTTAGGAAAACTGAACAATCTTCAAGTGATGATGAGTTCGTTTATGGTTGGTGAAAGTAGTGAGTTCAGTATTCAACAGCTTGGAGACCTCAGTCTTCGTGGAGGGATAACAATTGAGCATCTGGAGAATATTTTGAATCCCTTGGATGCAATGGCAGCAGATTTGAAAAGTAAAACAAATCTTGTGGAGCTAACATTAAAATGGAATGATAGCTGGAACTTTGCCGATTTAATGAAAGAAAGCGAAGTCCTTGAGAATTTGCAACCTTCCAAATATTTGGAGAAGTTGTCTATTTGGAACTATGGTGGTACACAATTCCCAAGTTGGTTAGTCAATAGTTCATTGTCGAATGTAGTGTCCTTAAGCTTAGAAAATTGTAAATTTTGCGTATGTTTGCCTCCCCTGGGACTTTTGCCATATCTCAAGGACCTTACTATTAGTGGGCTTGATGAGATTGTGAGTATTAATGCTGAATTTTTTGGAAGTAGATCATCTTCATTTACATCCTTGGAAACATTGAAGTTCTCGTTTATGCATGGATGGGAAAATTGGGAATGTCAAGCTGTGACAGATGCTTTTCCAAGTCTCCAACATCTTTCTATAAAACATTGTCCCAAGCTGAAAGGGAAGCTACCAGAGAAACTTGTTCATCTAAAGAATCTACTTATATGTGACTGCCAAGAACTTGAGGCTTCTGCTCCTGCGGCCCTAGAAATTTGTGAATTAGACCTACGAGACTGTGGAAAGCTGCATTTTGATCACCATCTCGCTGCTTTGAGAAGGCTAACCATTATCGGAGGCAGTAGGATGAAATTGTCTCTAGATTTCTTATGCACATCAGATATAAATATTCGCATGAGCAGTTATGATTTTCTTGAAGCATTGGACATCAATGGTGGTTGTGACTCTCTTATGACCATTTCGCTTGATTTTTTCCCAAAACTCATTCGGCTTTGTCTCACAAGTTGTCGTAATCTACGAACTATTTCACAGGGGCATACTCATAATCATCTAAAGGATCTGCAAATAATTGGGTGCCCTCAATTCCAATCATTTCCTGGCGAAGGATTATCTGCACCCTGGTTAGAGAGCTTTACTATTAAAAGATTGCATAAACTGAAATCATTGCCTCCACACATGCCTATTCTCCTTCCATCTCTGACTAGTCTATTGATACATGATTGTCCACTGATGGAGTTGTTATCTAATGGAGGTTTGCCATCAAATCTAGAAAATATGAATATCTCAAATTGCTCCAGACTCGTTGCCTCACTGAAAGGGAAGTTGGGAGCAAGCACCTCTCTGCAAACCTTGTCTATTCAACAAGTGGATGTGAAGTCTTTTCCCGATGAAGGTTTTTTGCCAACTTCTCTTACTTGTCTAATAATCCGTGATTGCCCATATCTTAAAAAACTGGACTACAAGGGTCTCTGCAATCCCTCTTCTCTTAAGAAATTGACTCTTTTTGACTGCCCCAACATCCAATGCTTACCTGAAGAGGGTCTGCCCAAATCCATTTCAACTCTCCGGATTTTGGGCAATTGTCCGCTGCTCAAAGAACCTTCCCAGAAGAAAGAAGACGAAGATTGAGGATCGATAGCTCATGATAAAAATATATCTTTTCATATGTCTACCTTTTCATTAGGTACCACTTCAACATCTTTTCATATTGCGAATTTTAAATGGCAATCTTGTTTATCATATATGCTTCACTCTGTAGTTGACCACTTTGTTTAACATCCCCTCCAGATTTGCCTATCAAACCAAGCGAGAATGTAATAATAGGTGATTACCAAGATGAATTATTGGTTATGATTACATACCATGTCAAATTTAAACTTAAAAACCAATGGACATTAAGTACCGATAGACATTAAGTAAAGCACCACAAATTTTTCAGATCTAGAGAGAGATTGCTTGCAAACCTCAAAATATTTTATATTCAAATTGTTTTCTCCACGGTAGCAAGATTATGAAACACAGTTTTGATGCAGAAATAAGCCAGGAAATATTGTTCATGATATAAGCATGTGAAGTTTGCTTGTTTTCTCAAAGGTAAATTGAGCAACATATTATCTGTTACTTTCTACATATATTCTTAAAATCTTCCTATGTCCATTGTTCGCGTCTAATGATTGGACTGTAATATTTTATGGGTCAGATGGAAAGAGTTTTGATGGTACAGGATTTCCAAATTGGTCTGGACTTTGGAGATGATTCAATCAAACAGTGTTGTCAGAATACTAAAGACAAAGTTTCCTACATTATAGATTCTTAAAATTTTCCGGTGTCTAATGTTCTCCTCTAATTATTGAGGACTATATGGATTTATGTATCAGATTGAAAGAGCTGTCAATCAGGAGCTATGACCGTACAAAATTTCCAAAATTGATTTGACTAGGGAGATGATTCAACAGTAGATATAAATTTCTTTCCACGTCTGAAGCAATAGTTTGTAGTTTAAACAGTATTGTCAGAGTAAAAGGCAACCCAATTCAGGAAACTCAATGCATCCGAACTTATGGCGATAATAGTATGAACAGAAAGTCTATGCCGCTGATTTCTTATATATTCAGATCAGGTACCTACTCTGCTGGATTTAGTTACTGATTTCAAATCCATTATTTTGTTACTTGGAAATTTTCAAACACTGACCTAACCACTCAACCCCATACTGCCATCTTGTTTATAGGAAATGTTTCACTTTTTCTATTCTCTAATTAAGAAATAACAGTAGCATAAGGGACAACTAGTATGATTAATGTTTATCAGAGGAGAATGACCAACAATCTATGAAGTCCCATAGATATTATATCTCAAGAATTTATCTATCCCAAGAATTAACCGTTTGAGACGATAAGTTTTGTCATTAAATAGTAAAGTAAAAAAGATAGTTAATTTTATTTCTTTTAAAATAAATTTTATATATTATTATATATGTGCATATTTGTTCATAAAATATATAGTTCTTGAGATATTATAAATATTAATACTAATATTATTTTGGGTTATTTTTCTTGTTCTCTATTTTTTTGTTTACGTGTGATAAATCAGGATATCTTGTTACATTGGAATTAATATAGTATCAAGAGCAAAGTTTGTCTTATGAGTGAAGTGAGACCTTCTGATCTTTATTGTTAGTATTTGGGTAAGTCTCGGTATGTGATGTGTGTGGTCATTCTCCTCAGTAGTGAACAATCTTGAAAAATAAAAAAAGAGTTGAAGGTTTAAAGATTGGTGAAGCTCATGGATTTATAGATTCAAGATGGCTAGGAATGAGAGTATCATTCAAGGTGCACTACCAGTGTTTGATGGAAAGGGCTTTGATAATTGGAAGATAAAGATATTAGTTGTTTTTGGGTTTCAAGATGTAGCGGATGTGGTGAAGAGTAGGCTTGAAGATCTTGGAGACAAGGCTACAGAAGAAGCCAAGAAACAATTCAAGAATATTCAAAAGTTGGACAACAATGCCAGATTTTTCATTTACCAATGTGTTGGACTGAATATCTTCAACAAAATTTTCAAAGTTACAACTGCGAAAGAGTGTTGGGAGATTTTGATGAAGACTCATGGAGACGAAAACAAGAATAAGAAGATCAGGATGCAAACTTTGAGGAGGCAGTTTGAGTTTCTCAGCATGGATGAGAATGAAACTATTGTTGAATATTTTGATAAAGTTCAAGAATATATGAATGCAATGAGGGTTTGTAAAGACAGGTTGTTGATAAGATTTTGAGAAAAATTTCGCAAAGATTTGATCATGTTGTAATGGCAATTGAAGAAACAAAAGACTTGGAAGAGATGGAGGTAGAAGCTTTGCAACATTCTCTCGAAGTGCATAAGTTTAGGATTAATGAGATGAGGTATAATCAAGAGTAGACTCTTCAAATTAGAACAGTCCAAAGGGGAAAAGATAACACCTCAAAAGGAAGGAAAATGTTCAAAAAGAAAAAAATAAGATGAGAAAACAGGTGATACTTTAAAGAATAAGAAAGATCACAAGAAGTAACAAAACACCTCTAATGATGATAAAGAATGGAAGTTTGACAAAACGAAGATAAATTGTTACAACTGTCAGAAGTATAACCACTTTGCATGTGAATGCTAGGAAGGTGAAGGTTTCAAGAACAAGCCAAAGAACCAAGCTAATTTAGCTCAAGATGAAGCTTCTTCAGGTTCTAATGTAATGATGCTGATGGGCAAAACCAGTGATATAAATTCAGAAGAAACCTCTTCTTGGTACCTTGATTTGGGGTGCTCCACGCATATGACTGTGAAGAGATCAAGATTAATGATGTGTCTCAAGGAGAAATCAGATTTGTCGACAATAACAGTCTCAATGTAGAAGGGGTTAAACGTGTAAAGTTGAAGGATCATAATAGTAAGGAAATCATCATTGATGATACGCTGTATGTACTAGTTTTGAAAACAAACTTGATGAGTCTCTGACAACTTTTGTTGAAAGGATTTGTCATGAAAATGAAGGAGAATGATTTTAGTATATATGACAACAATCATAAATTGATGGTTCATGTAATTTTTCTGAAAACATAATTTTTCTTGTTGGTATGAATATACGAATGCATAAATGTTTTGTCATTACAGATAATAGGAGTGAGTGGTTATGATATAATAGTTTCTGCCATCTGAATTTTTTGCATTTGTATAAGCTTAGTTACAAGAATCTGATTACTGGACTCCCATCAATTGTGATTCCAAAGGAAGTTTATAGAGAATGTATTCAATGCAAGCAGGTCAAACCAAAGTTCAAGAAATTTGTGGCCGGCAAAGTAACCGAGAAGCTTGGTATGGTGTACTATGATGTTTTTGGGTCAATGTAGGTTGAAACACCTGGTGAAAATAGAATGGTTGAAAAGTAGAGTGGAAACAAGATATGTTGAACATTCAAGGACTTGATGTTGCACTTGATGAACATGAAAATTGTTGATTTTGATGATGATTCAAGAACACAAAGACTTAGAGTGTTGAAGACTTGTTTTGTAGTGTAATAACTCTGTATTAATTAGATTGAGTCTGTGATTTTAGTGTTTGAGATAGCCGGTACATAGTCTGAACCTTAGAAGCTTCAAAAAGCTCAAGTTTATCATCCAGGCTCGGCTTTAATCGATTAAATAGGGAAGTAATCGATTAAAACAGTGAGAAAAATCATTTTCTGTAACAACTCACTGGTTTAATCGATTAAACCAACTTTTAATCGATTATCAGGCGGTTTAATCGATTAAACCTCCTTTTAATCTATTAAAGCAGAGAGATTTGGGTTCTGTTGATTTTTTGCTCTGATTTAATCGATTAACACTTCTTTTAATCGATTAAACCAGTCAGATTTTGGGTTTTAACTTCAAATCAAACCTATTTTCGAAAACCCTATTCCCAAGAACCCTAGTTTCGAAATTCCCAATTCCTAAACCCTAATTTCTCTACTTAAACTCTTCTTTGGCACTCAGACAAATAGAACAACCTTTTCCATACAAAAGTTAAGTGCTGTGAGTGCCAGAGAACTGTTTGTTGCAAGGAAAGGGGACTTTTGGAACCTGGTGTGGGCTAGAAGCGATAAGAATCACTAAGTGGAGTTCTTAGTGGATTGTGTGTTGTGCCGTCTCTAGGGAAAGCTGTTCATCATCTCTTGTGGATTTCAAGAGAGGTGTTTTCTTATCTTTATCTTTTCATTGTAATTTGTTTGTAACAACTTTGATCATAGTGACAGCGTTAATCCTCTGTTTGAGTGATTAGCAACTGGACGTAGGGTCTTTTGATCCGAACCAGTATAAATTTCCTGTGTAAGACTCTATCCCTTTCTCTATTTACATTTACACAGTTTTTTAATCGGTAAAATTTGGGAAAAATTTTGAAAACCTAATTTTTATTAAGAAACCAATTCACCCCCCTCTTGGTTTTTGTCCGACCACGCGAACATTCTGCTGCGCGATTCTAACAAGTGGTATCAGAGCTTGCTTTGATAGTCATTCAAATTTTCGAAAATGGCCGGACAAAATCAAACTTTTGCCGAAGGTTCGTCTATCAACAGACCCCCACTTTTTGCGGGTCAAAATTATCCTTTCTGGATGGTACGTATGCAAATATTTTTAGAGTCTGTTGATAGAGGCGTTTGGGATGCTATTTTAAACGGTCCATTTGTTCCTAAAATTACTGAGAACGGTGTTGACGTTCTTAAACCTTTTTCTAGATGGACTGCAGAAGAAAATAGAAAAGCCCAATTTGACGTTAGGGCTAGAAATATTATTTCATCTGCTCTAACCCTTGACGATTTTTATAGAATTTCTGTTTGTAAAAGTGCACAGGAAATGTGGGAAATGCTTAGAGTGACCTACGAAGGTACTGACGATGTCAAGAGAGCACGTAAAAACTCTCTAATCCAAGAATACGAGATGTTTCGGATGCAACCAGGCGAAACGATCTTTGACGTACAAAAGCGTTTCACTCATATCGTGAACCATCTCACCGGATTAGGTAAAGTATTTGACGTTGATGAATTAAATGTTAAAATTTTGAAATATTTGGATAGGAAGTGACAACCTAAGGTGACGGTCATCTCGGAGTCACAAAATCTT